TTTTTCAAAAGAATATTGTGGATGACTTTATCAAATAGTTTCTAAAATCTAGGTCACTATAGTTATAACATTTGTCTGGTATTATCTGTTCTTAAGGAAATATGCTGCGTCTTTCTGATGAATATTTCCTTATCTTGATGCTAGGTAACAACATATCTTACTTAATTCCAGAATTTTGCTAGTTCAATGACTTGGAATTTTCAGACTCTTATTATTTTCCTCTTTCCTCCTGAACACTGGAACAACATTTGCCCTCTTTCAATGCTGTTGTACCTCTCCTAGTCACTACAGTATTTCAAAGATCATTCATGGTGGCTCAACGATCACATCTGCCAGTTCTCTGAGGGTGTAGTTTATCTGGGCCTGGGAACTTGAATTCACTGGGGGCTTTCTTGAGGTCCACTTCCTTATCTTATTAACTTCTTATGAATCATCTTTATTCTGTAGGTAAGGGGGAGTTGTATGATTTTTCTCCCCCTCCCACCTTACTTGATACAGTCATATGATGAGGCTTTAATGTGTTGACAAGGTATACTACCTCGAGATCCCTTTATGATCAAGTTAATAAGGGAATAACTTGATGGCTGAGCAAATTAGCCATACCCCTAGGGACTTTAAATGGATAAGCCCAGGATGAATTTCAGCTATTCAAGAGTTGGGAGAGATTGTAAGCAGTGAGCTGCCTCAGGATGAGAAAGGAATTTCTCTTCTCCTCTACACTGGTTATATAATTTTAAAGAGGCCCTACAAAACTCCTGGGGAGCAGAGCTGAACACTCCAGACAAACACAGATATAGAGAGAGGAAGCAGCTTCAAGGAGCACAGCCTTGCAGGCAGAGAAGAGAATTGGACCATGGAGAGAGGCAGACCTTGGGAATCCTGCCTAGCAGACAGGCTGCACGCAAGGGGAGCTGTGTGGGGACTCTGAAAAAGAAAGGACTTTTAGGTCTGTTGTAGCAGGAGGTGTAAATTGCCTTTGCCAATTATGGCTCCCTACCATTGTTTTCTAAGAGTGAGCCCACTCTTCCCACAGACACTGGGGGTATTTGTGGGACAGTATATCCCAGGTTTAAGAGGGAAATGTTTTTATAGCTACAGTTCTTACTATGCTATCTTAATAAATGCCTTTTCTACAACTAATTGTGCCTAGTAGCTGATTGCTGATAGGAAGCACACCAGTGGTGGCTCACAAGCTATAATATTGAGAGTCTAGCTCTGCAAAGTCACCTCTAGAATCTAAGATAGCAGCCCTTCTCTCAGGACTTACCCTATTGGTGCAGACATGCTGCACGCAAGGGGAGCTGTGTGTGGACTCTGAAAAAGAAAGGACTTTTAGGTCTGTTGTAGCAGGGAGTAGTATCTCAGAGTGTTACACATACTTTCTAGTCAACAAATCATCATCAGCAGCAGCAGCAGCATTGTGCTAACACTCTAGTACTGTCTCATTTGATCCTCACAACCCTGGGATGTAGATGCTGTTATTATCCCCATTTTGCAGTTGAAGTAACTGAGGTTGAAAGAGGTTAAGTGACTTGTCTAAGATCACACAACTGTGTCTGAGTCTGGATTTGAACTCAGATCTTCTGGACTCCATTAAGGCCCAATGCTGTTATCCACTGTGCCACATAGCTGCCTTGATTGTCCTGTCTACCAGAGTAAAAAGAAGAAAATAAGAGTTCAGCGGCCCTGCCTTCTCTCTGTGGTTCGTTATCATCCTATCAACCAGCCTGAGGTTTCTTTCAACATTCTCCTGACATAGATCAAAACCTCATTTGTGTTTTCTTTAGCTTTTATTGACAACCTTCACCATTTTGATCTCTAAAACTCTTAATCTGGGGGCAGCTAGGTGGCGCAGTGGATAGAGCACTGGCCCTGGAGTCAGGAGGACCTGAGTTCAAATGTGGCCTCAGACTCTTGACACTTACTAGCTGTGTGACCCTGGGCAAGTCACTTAACCATTGCCTAGCCAAAAAGCAAAAAACAAAAAAAAAATTCTTAATCTAGTTTTTGTGGGGACATGCACTCTTTCATTTTTGTTGTTCATTTTGTTACCTTTGATTCCATCATCTATAAATATCTTTAAATTTTTAAAAAAATTAGTAAATTCCCTGTATATCCACACTAGCCTTTTCAGATGACTCCCCCTTTTCCTCTCTTTATGTCTTCAGGTAGTTAGATGAAGTAGTAAAGTGCTGGATTTGGAATCAGAGAAGACCTGAGTTTAAATCTTCACTTAGACACTTACTAGCTCTATGGCCCTGGGCAAGTCACTTAACCTCTGTTTCCTCAGATAAACAATAGCAAGTACCTTACAGGGTTGTAGTGAGTGTTAAGTGAGATGGCATCTGTAAAGTCCTTTGAAAACCATGAAGTGCTATATGAGTTTGTTGTTGTTAAATGCTAGTTATCATTCTTCAGAATTTCATTTTCAGAATTTTAGTCCATGAGATCCTACTGTCCTTTCTCTGAACACTTAGAAATTCAATTCAATCCAAGAATCAGTATCTACTATGTGCTAGGCACTGTACCTGACACTAGGAAACAAAAATAAAAGCCAAGTAGTCCCTGCTTTCAAGAAGCTTATGCTCTATTTCCCCAAAGCACAAGCTGCATATTAGACTAATCCCTGTTTTCCCTTTTTCCTCTATTAAAAATGTTAAGATGGAGCAGTCACTCTTCTAAGGTGCCTATCATTTCCAATCTAGAAATCAATTCTTCCTTATTAGAGAGAACCAGATTTAGAAAAGAACTGTCCCTTTCTAATTCCTCCTCCCATTGAAGGATGAAACTATCATTAAGGCAAGTCAAGGGATGATCATCTGCTCTGCTTTTGTGGGGGGAGGGGCAGAGGGAAAGAGAGAGAGACACATAAAGAGAAAGAGAAGACACAGAGACAGAGAGAGTTAGAGATTTTCAGCAGTTATCCAGACAACTAAAGTTCCTCATACTATTCTGTCATGTCTCTGTGCCAGGCTTTTGATGTTTCCCAAACTCCTTGTTTATTTCCTCTTTCCATCCAAGTAGTCTGAAGTATTCTCTGATGAAAATATTTCTTCCTTTTTTTACCTCTATTGATCTCCACCAGGATGTTTTCCACAATTTCTGCCTGGATTCTGGATTTCCTTACATAAGTATATTTCAACATATAATGCTACTCTGTGGCCCCCTTTCATCTTTTACCTATCCTTTAAAAAAAAAAAGGTATACTTATCCACAGCCAAATTCTAGTCATGTATTTCATCTTACCAGCTCTTAGTGTTAACCTAAGATAGAAAATATACCATCCTGCATTCTCATCTCTGGTTAATCTCGCTTGTCACCTATATTTTGTGCCTTTGTATAGAGACATCTGAGGACATAGATCTTACTGTTTTCTTATATTTTGTCCACTCTTCTCTTGGATAATCCCTCCTCTTTAGGCACTCTCCTGATTCTTTGGATCTCTTTTCCTGCTATCCCATCTCAATTGGTGATCTCATCAACTCCCATGGATTTGGCGATCATCTCTCTGCTGATGAATCTCAGATCTCTTTCTTCAACCCTAACCTCTCCTGACCTCTAGTCTCACACCACTAACTGCCTATCGGACATCTCAGACTTGATGTCCCCTAGATATTAAACTCAACATGTCCAAAACATTACTTATTCTATTTCCCCCACCCTCCCCTCTTTCAAACTTCCCTATTATGGTCAAAGGCACTACCACCCTCACAGTTACCCAAGCTCACAACCTGCCTTCTCATTTGCACATACCCCACATAACTAATCTGTTTCCAAGTCCTGTCATTTCTACCATCATACCTCTCAGATACATCCCCTTCTTTTTCTCTGACATAGCCACCTAATGCCTGGACTATTGCAAGAAGCTGGTGGTTGATCTCTGTGTCTTGTGTCTCTTCCCATGACTCTGGTCTGTCTTCCACTCAGCTGCCAGTTCTTTTCCTAAAGCTCAGATCTGACCATGTCAATCCCCTGCTCAATAAACTCCAATGGCTCCCTTTTACCTCTGGGATCAAATATAAAACCCTTGGTTTGGCTCTTAAAGTCTTTCACAATCTGGTTCTTTTCAATCTTCTTCTATGTTATTGCCCTCTATATACTCTACGATTCAGCAACTTTGACTTCTTGCTGTTCCTTTGTGCATGACTCTTGATTCTCTGCCTTTTTACTGGATATCCTCCATGCCTGCAATGCTTTCCTTCTTCATTTCTGCCTCCTTCGAGATCCAGTTCAAATCCCACCTTCTGCAGGAGGCCTTTCCTGCTCTGTTCTACCCCCCTCTCTAACCTTTCTGCTCCACTGCTATTGTCTCTCTCTGAGATTACCTCTAATTTACTGTCTATTTCTTCCTTATATATAGTTGTTTGTGTTTGGTCTCTCCCATCAGAATGTGAGCTCCCTGAGAGCACGGGTTGTTTTTACCTATTCTTGTATCCCCAGTGCAGTGCCAGGGACGTAATAGGTGCTTAATAAATGCCTCTTGTTGTTGTTGGTAAGCATCCTCCTACACATTGTGGCCATCCTCAGTGGTACCTAGCTTGGTGGATAAACCTAGGCAGTTTTCTTCCTCCTTTTTCCTTTGCAGATTAAAGATCTTTTGATTAGATTTGCAGGACTCAGAGGCAAATCCATTCTTCTCTGTCCTTTTTAGGTACATTCCATCAATGAGTCTGCCATGCCTATTTTAAACTGTGGTTCAGAAATCTAAATGCTTTTCCCAGACACCTTAACCAGTTCCTCATTTTCCCAGATCTGCCTTTTTCAGAATCCTCTCCTTCAGTGAACAGCAGTGAGGAAAACATTGCCCATGCCCCTAAGGTCTTCAGTTTCTTACCTAAGCCTTTGCATTCTTTAGCAATGCTTTCTAGGTTCCTTCTGGCAGTGGTGTTTATGCCCACATGAATCATCCCAAGTGGGTAGTCGTCATTTTGTTTGGCAAGTTTGGGGAGGTTCTCTGTCACTTCTTGGACCTGTGCCCTAAGAGGCAGCAGAGGCTGGCAGACCTCTTTTGTGTTGCTCTCAGGTCCATGAGGAGTGGCTTTAGCTCCCCTCAGCAGGGAATAGCTAACCACCCACCCAGCACTCCTTGTCTCTTTTTCACCTAACCCTTAACTGGCTGAGCTCTCAACTGAGAGCACCTGTGGCTCTACAACCTCACTCTTTGGAGAACAAGCAGCTGCTCCCACTTCAGACGTTACAGATCCCTCCTCCTTCAGGAGGAGCCTGAAATCTGTATTTTGGCTCCAAATGTTTAGTCATTGTTCCATTTCTCCTCGGATGGACATCCTTTCACCCCTTCAACCTTCTGTCACAGGTCAGTACCCCTCTCCCCATGCCTATTCAGATCTCTTTCTCCTTTCTATTCACACTGGATCCCTTTTTGTGTTTTTTTTTTCCCTTTTTAAAAATTTTTAGGCAATTGGGGTTAAGTGACTTGCCAAGGGTCACACAGCTAGTAAGTGTCAAGTGTTTGGTCTGAGGTCAGATTTGAACTCAGGTCCTCCTGATTTCAGGGCGGGTGCTTTATCCACCGCACCACCTAGCTGACCCTTCTGTTAAGTTTTAAGGAATGCTTCCTTCTGCTTGATGTTCTGTATGACATCTGGAATCTTTTGTTAATTCTGGGTGTGGTGTATTAATAGACGTTGATGAGCTATAGTGCATTTAAAGGAGGGCAACCAGGCTGATGAAGAGCTTTGAATTAATGCCCTATAACTAGCAACTCAAGGAATTGGAGATATTTACCATGAAGAAGACTTTAGGGTACAAGTATTTGAAGGGCAAACATGTGGAAGAGGTTGTTAGACTGGTTCTGACTGGGGAAACCAAGAATCAATTAGTATAAACTGCTGAGTCACACTTAAGCAGAGTACTTGGGGTGCCACCCAACTGAGATTGGGGTCCTCAGACAAGACTATCCCAGGTTTGAGGTACTTTTGTGGTTTCACATCCATTAAAAACCATAGCTCTTGAGACCTTATTGCTATTTTTATATTTACTAGTTAGCCAATGGATACAACTAGCTCATAGCTGCTCTGGGCCAGGCCTGACTTTGGGTGGTCTAGAACTTCAGGCTGGGTATGGGAACGAAAGGAGACACTCACAGACCCATATAACCCTCAATCAGAAAAAATAGTTTACATAGCAATAGCATGGAAAGCCTACCCAGCAAGCATCTAGTAGTGGTTTGGGTAAACGCAGGCCCCCTCGTCTCCACATGGAAATCCATCAAGTCAGCAGGTTGTGGTGACCCACATAGTAGGGGGACATCAGTCAAGTCTGAGAGGTATTGACCAGGAAGTCATGACAATGGCTCAAGTCTTAGTCAAGACCACATCTAGCATGGGAGGTGGGGCACCTGCCTAGACAATTCATGTCTTTTTCAAGATTGGAGGGAAGAATTTGTTGATCACAAACTCGAAGTAAATACCTAACCAGATTAGTTATTCCATCAGTCTAGAGAGCTCCCAGCGAGGAGATCCTTTTGCCAATGCAAGTAGGTATCTTCTCTACAATGTATAGTTGTAGAAAATTTCCTCAGGGCACTGAGAAGTTAGCTCACTTGTCCAAGGGTCACCCAGTGAGGATGTGGGAGAGGGAGGATCTGAGTCACTGGTCTTCCCAGCTCTCTCTATCTGTTAAGCCACATTGCCTTTCAACAGTGGGACAAAGCTGTTAAAAGAGCTAATGTAAGCTGAGTCCTTGTTAATAGAATAACATCCAGATTAAAAGAAATAATGGTTCCTCTGTGTGCCAGTCGTATACATCTAGAGTAATGTATTTTCTTCTGGGTGCTATACTTTAAAGAGGGGCAGTGACAAATTATAATACATTCAGAGAAAAGTAATCAAAACAGCAAGAGATCTGGAAAACATATCATATGAAGAACAGTTCAAGGAACTAGGGATGTTTATCCTGGAAAAGAAAAGACTTCGGGGAGCCATGATAGCTGTCTTCAAATATTTGAAGGATTGTTATGTGTAAGAGGAAATAGATTTATTTTGTGTAGCTCCAGAGGGAAGGGTTACAACCTATAGGTGGAAGTTAAAGTGAGTCAGATTTCAGTTCAATACAGTATGGAAGAACCTTTTAACAATTAAGCCAGAATAGGTTGCCTTGCAGAGCAATGAGCTTCTTATCATGGGAAGTGTCCAAGCAGAGCAACTGGATGTCTGTTATCAGAGAGGCTGTAGAAGGAATTTCTGCATTGGGCAGTAGATTGAACTGTATGAGTTCATGATCTTGTAACTTCCATTCCATTCAACCAGCATTTATAAAATGCCTACTATATTACGGGAATGTACTGGGTAGTGTTGATATAAGGACAAAAGAGGGCACCAGGACCTGTGTGATTGACAACTTCCTAGAGAATGGTCAGTGTGCTATAGTAAAAAGAGGGCTGGAGGTAAGATACATGAGTTCTCTTCTGACTTTGTGTGACCATGGGACAGATTTTCCTTTTTTTTTTCTTTAAATAAAATGATGATGATAGTGCCTGCCCTTCCTTCCTTGTGGAATTACAGTGAAGACCAAATATAATAATTATTAGATGTGAAAATATTTTGAAAATAAGAAATTGTGCTATAAAAATGAAGTATCTTTTCTTGGGATGAAGGAAGGAAATAAGCATTTATTAAGTGCCTACTATATGCAATGCACTGGATTAAGTGCTTTACAAATATTACTCACTTGATCCTCAGAGAGACCCTAAAAGATAGGTGTTATTATTATCTCCATGTTATAGTTGGGGAAACTGAGGCAGGTAGCAGTTAAGTTCCTTGCCCAGGGTCACATGGCTAGTAGGTGTCTGAAGCTGGGTTTGTATTTGGGTTTTCCTGACTCCAGGCCCAGCCCTCTATTCACACTGTGACACCTAGCTGCCTTATGACCTCATAAAGTCTAGTGACCTGGGGCCTACTCAGAGCACCTATATTAACAGGGCCCCAGAAATAAATGCGGGGCACACTAAAATATAAATATCTGGTTTGAGAGCAGTACTCCCCACTGAGGCCTGGATGTCTGCAAATGGGAAAATAGTCATTTAATCCAACCCTTTTGTTTCCCAACTGCTCAGGACACTGAGGCTCAAAGTGACTTACCTATGAGCGCACTCAGTAACTAAGGCACACCGTAACTTAGCCAGGGGCTTTGGAGTCCCCCGACTCCAACTCTAATCTTTCCTCTATACTGTAGCTGCCCCAGTGGCAGTTAGATCACAAAGTCCTGCCAGTGACTCTCAGAAATGAACAGGTCCTTAAAGGGGGACTGGTTATTAAGAAGGAAGTTAGAATTCCACCCCTCTCTGAATGAAAGGGAAAAGGGAAATCTGTCAGCTTGTGGCCTTCTTCCGGTGGTTCCCGTTCAGGTCTCAGGGTCTAGAATGACTGCTATTATTGCTTCCCTATTGGCTCACTTCCTCTGGTTTCAGTTTGCCTAGTGCTAAGGAGTTGGTGACGGATTCAAGACAGAGTACCTATAATTCAGTCAAGGACTTCCTTATTCGGCTTCTGTTACTCACTTTCCAAGAAGCCTGCCTTGCTTTGCCTGGGGCAAGGGCCAGGGGTTGGGAGGGGGTGAACCCTTTGCTCAATTGCTTTATAAAGCTGGCCAACCTTGGGGCTTCTCTAATCCAGGGAGACAACTCTAATAATCATATGATTTCCCTTCCTATCCTTTCTTTGTGAATCTATTCCACAGCAAAACACCAAAGGTGGACTGCTCACTTACCTCCACCCTGGTACTCCAGAATCTCTATTTCCAATTAAGGTATTGACTAAATTTACCCCCAGATTCAGCATACTCTATATTGGCCCTAAATCTTCCAGGCAGGACTTCTCTGCTGGCTTTTCTCCTTTAATCAAATAGAATTCTGATAACTGCATTATCTCTGTTATGTCTTTCTAGGGATTGCTTGCCTTTTGATTTCCACCCTGCAGCTATGTCTGAGCCTGGGGTGAAAGAAGAAGCATAGATTGCTATGTTTCCCCTTGCCCCAGACTTTTGCTCTTTCTCTGCCTTTTTTTCTCCCTCTCCTAACACCATCCTATTGTCATATCCCCAAACCCTGATGGGCTGAATGGGGCTGCAGCCCCTATAGCTGTGTCCCTGCTTCTTTCAACCTCATGGCATTTGGAACTCCCTACTCAAAACTGGAAGTTTGACTCCTTTATTCTACAGATGAGGAAACTGAGTCTCAGAGATGTGAAATGATTTGCCTCAAATTACACAGCTAGTAAGATTCCCTGAGTCCAGTGTCCTTTCCACTATCCCATCCTACCACTCTTTGGTTTGATTTTTGCCTGGTCTCCTTCTTGCCCCAAGACTCTTGTTCACTATCATGCCTCCTAGGCTCTCTTGGTTGGCCCACATTCCTCTGGCACTGGTTCTTCCGAACCATTAGTATATGGACAGCTTTGAGGTCCTTTCTGAAGACCAGTGAGAAAGGGCAGTATGGGCCTTGTACAAAATTCTGAACCCCTTCTTCTCTTGGTATAACCTTTCGCTGTAGAACCCATGATGCCCACTGCCATATTCTACCCATGCTTGCTCTCCCAGGGTGGTGTCCTGTTCTCTTTGCCCAGGTGTTCAATGCCTTGCACTCCCTGTAGAGTAACCCATGAGTACCCCCATCAGGTGGATTTGTGTTTCGGTAGTAACAGTATCTCGAATTATAGTCATTTATAAAGAGCTTTCCTCACAATAACTCTAAGACAGGTATTACAAGTATAATCTTCATTTTATAGATGAGGAAAATGAAGCCCAGAAAATTTAAACGGTTTGCTCAAGGTCACAGTGCTACTAAGTACTTGGAATCAGTTAGTGTTGGAATGAGCTCAAATCCAAGTCTCCTTATAAGTCTAGTGCTCAACCCACTACTCTGTGTTGTTGTTCAGTTGTTTTAAGTCGTGACCAACTCTTCATGGAATCCCATTTGGAGTTTTCTTTGCAGAGATACTGGAGTAGTGGGCCATTTCCCTCTCCAGCTCATTTTACAGATGAAGAAACTGAGGCAAACAGGGTTAAGTGACTTGCCCAGGGTCACAAAGCTAGTAAGTGTCTGAGGACAGATTTTAAACTCAGGAAGATGAGTCTTCCTGACCCCAGGCCCCTCATGCTATCCACTGTGCCTCTTAGCTGCCCCCACTGCTATATACTGCCTCTCATTTTGAAAGAGACTTCTTAGAGAAATAGCAATTTACTGTAACAAAACAGTTTCACTCAGCAAGTTTGCAGCGTAGGTATTTTCAGGATATGGGGGTCCAGATCAGTCCAAATGGCTGCCAACTTTGCCTAAATAAACTAAAGCCAGCCCTT